CCCCCACCCCCAAAACTCCAATTAAAAACAATTTCTCAAACTCAAAATTGCATATATCAGAATTTTTGGGGTATTGATTTCTTAATGTTATTCTCCTAGTTCTCTCATAGTATGGGTTCAATTCTCTTCGTGTTTATCTAAACTCACTGTCTATTTGATGTAGGAGCGCCACCATTAAATCTCAGTCTTTATCTTTTCCTTTTCCATTTCTTCTTTTAATTCAAAATAAGTGTGTTATTGTCTTTTTAAATGGAAATGGATGGTTTCCATCCATTAGGGACCAAAAGTGCTGTAAAGAACAACAGTTAATGAGCCATGTGCTCCAAATAGAATGTTGGGGACCTCAATTCTCTACTTCACATAGGTTTGGGACGTCAGCTGGAATTTTCCTTCTTTTTCACTAATCACTATAAAAATTTTAAATACTGTTTATCTTATGCCTAAGTTCTTTAGGTCCATACCAATTCTAATCTCAATTAAATATGATTTAGTTCCCGACCAGCAAGTCCCCCAATAAGAGAAAATATGTCACTTCTGCTCATCTCTCTCTCAGACTACTGATTTTATTTTGGAAAAATTAGGCTTAGCTCCCCAACCTTTCCTTTAGTGTGACACTATCTCCCTAACCTTTAAAACTGAGTTTTGACTCCCCAACCTATTGATCATTAAGGTTGGTTCCCACATGACCAAACGTTACTTTGATAGTTAAAAACTCAAAATTTCTCTAAAAGGACTTTTACGCTCTTACATAAAACTAAATATTTATCGAGAAAAAAAAAGTACCGCAAAAATTTGTCGAACAAGGAACAAACTGAAAAGGAAAAGAATTCATTCTTCTCCCCCATCTGCCCAACTCCCAACACCGCCACCGGCCCCATCTTCCCCTGCCACCTGCAATGAAATTGAATATGTCAAGGTGGCAGCAGCATACTGGTTCTTCGCTCTCGGTGGCGATGGCTATTATGGCCATTTGATAAGAATGAATGGGGGAAGAAGCCTGATTTTTTATTATATCTATTTTACACAAAATTCCATTAAGCATTAGATTACCTCAAATTTTTTACATATGCGATTAAAATTTCAAATTCAAAGCCCAAAATCAAAGAATTATTACACTTCCATCTCTATCTGCAAGATTTAACCCTAATCCTAGATAAAATGTAAGCCCTTTCACCCCTGATCCTTCTAGCCAACCCAACTCATAGTGTTAGTTTCACTTTGGTTACCATTTTTTATTACATTCACTTAATATCCATTTTTATTTGTATTTAGTCGCTTTTTCTACCACCATTTGCTAAATTATCAGGAAAAAAGGCGGAACATTTTACACGTGAAAGGAAAAGGTGATGTTGGGTCCATGTCAGTTGATTACTGTTACTCCGATATTTGTGAATTAGTTTTGTATTAATCTAGGGAGGTCACAAATAAGTTTTGAGATATTATATTTTCGATGTTATACGTTTCTCAGATTGGTCAGCTTTTGCTGGAATGTTTGGTTCTTCTTGGATACTTTGCATTGTTCCATCCTGAGAATCAAGCTGTCCTTCGCTGGGGAAAGAGCCCGACCATCCTTCACAAGGTCAGTGAATTTGTAATGAAATTTCATACTTGCATGTATGTATGTTCACCTAAGCTTTAAAAAATGTAATTATAACTAGGTTACGGATGAGAAATTAAGTTATAATAATAAATACTTTGTGTTGGCCAGAACTTATTAAGAGTTCCGTACCTTGCTGTCAAAACTTTAGAAACTTTCACAAGAACATATTACTTAAGGCGAAGTACATTTAAGCTTGGCCAAACGTGTTGTATATCGCAAATATCTCGAATGTTGGATTAAAGAATCTAATTTATCCGACCTGTGTGTAATTATAACTAGGTTACGGATGAGAAATTAAGTTATAATAATAAATACTTTGTGTTGGCCAGAACTTATTAAGAGTTCCGTACCTTGCTGTCAAAACTTTAGAAACTTTCACAAGAACATATTACTTAAGGCGACTTAAGTACATTTAAGCTTGGCCAAACGTGTTGTATATCGCAAATATCTCGAATGTTGGATTAAAGAATCTAATTTATCCGACCTGTAACACAGGTCTGCGATTTGCCATTTGTGTTCTTTAGTGATCCCGAGTTGATGCCAATATTAGCCGGCACATTGGTGGCTACCTCATTTGGATGTGAACAAAACAAGGATGTTATTCAGCAGGAACTCAGTGTGGACATGCTTCTTTCCTTGCTCAAATCATGCAAAAACAGTCAGTGCAATTCGACCTTAAACAGCACGCCAGCAGAAGAGTCTGCTCTTGAATTTAAAAAACTACCGGTTGATGCGTCCCAGAAATCATACCGAAACAATCTAAGAAGCAGTCGAGGAGTTCCCCAGAGAGGGTTTCTGCCTGCCAGTAATATGAGAACAATGAAGGCGCGAAACCTGAAAGACACCAAAGCTGCAAAGCTTTGTGAAGAGGTGTGTTTGGGGACTGGTCAATCTTCGTCTGAAACTTCTGCCTTAATGTTGAGATTTCCCATAAGCTTCATCAACAAAGCAGAGCAGTTTTTTGCAGCTGAAACAACCGGGCTAAGCGAAGGTGATTATTGATATGGAAGCTTGTATGTTTAGAGGGAATTCATGAACAGCACATTTTACAATGAAAAGAAATGGAGAAACTTTGGTATTATAAAACCTTGTATGGAAATGACTTATATCATATAAATTTATTTTCATACAAATTGTTGAAATGAAGTTCAGTGGTGATTAGTGTAATACTGCAATAGACGCGATGACCTTCAGGTAAATTAAACCAGAAAAAAATGGAGTTAAAATCTTGAACTTTGAAGTAGAATGAAGCATTCTCATTAATTAAAATCTTGTTGACACAGCAATAGATACTAGTTCATGGATTATTTTGTTCTCATTTCTAGAACAAAATGGCACGAAACACAATTAACATATTGTAACAAAGCAATAATATCTGTAAGAACCACTTCATTTGGAGCAAATGGAAAGGCTCTGAACAAGTATTACAAGTATGAATGTCAAGATTTGTTAGTTCAAAATCAGTTTCAAACCAGAACAATCAGTATCTGATACAATATAAACTACTTTGAGCTTGTTTTGAGCACCAAACAAGAATGGCTGCAATTTCTGCAAAAACTATTGACATATTTGTTTTAATATTTCAAGGTAATTTGACCATAACATACTACAAACACTGCAAGAGCTTCCAAGACGGAGGATAACCTTTGCATCAGGATATCGTTTAAATTGAACGTAAACTTACTGTTATCAACTTCCTTTTTCATTGTACAAATTCCGATGCTTGGCTATCAGCATATATTGATTTTGCAGGAATTACAGGGATCTTCTGGTTCTGGGTTTTTCCTTGTCTCTGTAGGAATGACTTTGGAGGCTTCACTAGCAGAGCACATAATTTCTGAAGAACTCATGGGCTTAACTTGCTCTTGATTTTTCTTCGGTTCTAGTAACATTTACTCCAGAATATGCACTCCCAGGAACCTCAACTAACAGATCATCCTCCACACTCTTTGGTTGAATTTCTGACTCTTTGTAGCCCTGAAATTTGAAACGCTACAAATGCAAAAAAATTCATAGAACGTAGTCAAAATAAGTAACATAAGAAGCAGATAAAAGTGATTTACTTTAAGTGCTTATAAGTTGTGAATCCTACGAAATATATGGATAAAAAGTGAGTATTAAGTTGAGGTCCTAGGATATATATGAATGAAAAAATAAGTTTGACCAACTTAAATTATAATTTAAGCTTTTCCATACATACATCTTTTATCTTTAAAATATCGAGTTTCATTCATGTTCTAGCCACACTAAGTTACAAATATCATAGTACGTATCTCCACATGTTATTGAAGAAAACCATAGTGTTGATTGCATATCAGAACTGAATATAGACCAATGTCTTGACCAATGCACAATCTGTGTGTCCGTGTCATTAGGTGATCTCCAAACCAAGCATAAACCGACTGCACTCAAATACTATTATGAAACCATGTTCAATGTATAAATTAATGCTAGTTGTTAAAGCAAAGAACACTAATTTTGTGATAATCACCGTACCTCCAGTACAAGATCAATTGGCCTGGGCTTTTCCTCATTAATGAGGCCACTCGTAATGCCTTTGAGTAGGTTTTTTGCCTTATTCCTCGTCTTACGTCGGTCAGCACATTGTTCAGCAGTAACGTCAGCATGACAAGCAACACAAAGGGTCCTCATGTTTTCTAGCTTGCATTCACCTGAAGAACTTAGAGAAGTCGTATCAAGAACATAAAAAGAAAGAATTCACCAGACTAATCTCCCAGAGGATTGAAGCTCAAATACCAGTGGGCAGTGGTATCACATGGATCGACCTCCCATTTCACAAATATACGAACCAAATGATCAAGCAAAATAAGTAGTCAAATGGCCAGAAATATTAAGAGGTCTTGAAAGGAAAAGAAGGCCACTTGGGTCTTGGAAGAAGAGGATCATAATGGCAAGAACCCATTTTGCCTCAAATCATAATCTTTTAGTTATTTATCATTTAAAATTCTACATTTATGGTCATATGACAAATGTACAACATTAACATGAATTTCTTTTTTTACTTATTAAATCATCTTAGACATTTGTCATAAATGAAACTGGGAGAAGAGATATTCTTAAAACAATCTTGAAGGTATGACTATAACGTACCTCCCCCTCGATAGACAGGTATAATGTGGTCCGCGTGCCATGCATTGCCTTCTGTAGGATCATGAACGAGCTTATCCAGACTGTGAAAACCAAACAAATAATTCCAAATTTTAAAAGAAGATCAAAATAGAAGTGAGACGGGAGGGATAAAGGTAATCACTGCAATTCATATGCCTCGGATCCAATGACCCCTATAATCAGTTATTCTATATGTGGATAAAAGCATAAAATGGATATGAATTTTTGGTAACTGTGTTGAGATGTCACCCCTCAACGACAATTTATTTATGTATTACTGAAAGATGAAAACTTTAGTAATATAGAGAGAACTTTCATCTTCTGTTATATTAAAATGCAGAAACATGAACCTGTTTATTGGCTAAAAATACAGACTGCAAAACATGTCCTAGATCCAAGTCACTAGAAAAGCAAAAATTGTTATTTAACCTCCATATTAGCTCTTTAAATGTGCAATCTAAAGTTTTATTATCTCTAAATTTACTTATTGGAGTTATTTGTGTCCAACTCAAGCATAAATTATATTTTGCAATTCTACATCTTCCTTCCACATATTATTCCAAATGGATTACCATATATTGTTGGAAACTGGTGAGTTCAACCAATTCTTTGGTGCTTCCAACACTCCAGAAACTACTCCCTTATAAGACCATGATTTCAATGGTCTAAATTATTTTACAATTCCAGATGATTTGGGTGATGACTAAGGGAGAATGAATCCAATCAACCAGGATGATGGATTTGGATGATTTTGAAGAAGATGATGAAATGGTGACAATTGGTTCAAGTAACAAATGACAACTGAACAAACAAATAGCTACGGGTGCAATAGTAGACGGACAATCAGGGCAAAAAGCACTATATAAATACTGAAAAGTGAAATTAGCTTGGCTAAAGGGTATCAACACAACCCATCTAAATAGACACTATAAATGATGTAGCAATCACACAGTTCTCCTTATGTAAGTTCTAGTACTAATCTTAACAACTGGGTCATTTCGCAAGAGAATATGCACGAAAGGCATGGAGATGTTCGTACTAGTGGTGAGTTTCCGCTTAGCATGGTGGGAAGAATTAACTTGACCAACTTTATACAAAAATAACTTCAACCGAAGTACAAACCCTATTCTAGAAACACTCTTCGTTCAGATGCTATTTATACAATTAAAAAAGGCTTGGATAATGTGTACATTAAATAGGTATACTGATGTTTTATCATTTATTAGTTTGACTTGTGATTCAATAATAACCATAAAGGTTACATAGTTTCTAATGCACATTACATAGATAAACAGTGAAAAATATACCCCCAAAAAAATAATAAATAAATAAATAAATTGATGTATCTAAAGTAATTGAATATTCCCCATAATGAACTAAATATGTTTAATGTTTTAATGAATATTATTAGAGAATTTAGTTGTGAAACTAAAATCCACGGTTTTACTTTCAACAATGTGTCAATCAACACAATAGTTCATTGAAAAATTAACTGGACAACCTAACTAAAATTTTGGTGGTATACTATTTCATGTCTGTTACGTTTGTCATATTTTTAATTGAAGTACCAAAGATGGGCTAAAACTTATAAAAAGACAATAAAAAAAATTAGGTACGCTCTTAACTTTATTATGATCTCCCCTAACACACAAGTATTCGATGATTTATGCATAGAAAATGGACTAAAAGCAAGAACATTTATCACATATGTAGACCATAGATGGAACTCATCTTATCTCATACTAAAATTTTGTGAAATTTACAAAAATCTCATTACTACTTATTACAACAATCAACACTCACACGATGTAGAAATTATTTACACGACTATGACTAGAAATTTCCATATCACATGAGAAATTTTTCAAAAGGTTTTTGGTGCTACAAACGCATGTTCAGGCATATATTATCCTACCAATCCACTTATTCTTACTCATTTTTATTATATTTTTTATAATTTCAATAGGCACAAAACATTTCCTATTTTCTAATATTTTGTAAGCAATGAAGGCTAAATTTAGAAAATATTGAGAAAAATTGCCTACTTTATTTTTGTTAACTTTAGTAGTCAACCCTAGGTTTAATTTAAAGGATGTAAAACACATTGTATTTGCAATTTCAAACAAATTAACTTATGGGTCTTGAGTTACACACGGTAATTTAGAGAAAAGTTTATATAAGATGTAAGAGCTATATGTCGAAAAGAATGGTACGAACGTTTGACAACCCTATGTGGCAAAGTTACTTCTTCGTCACATAACAACAATTTATAGAGATACTTTAGTTCTTGTACGGGTACTCAACATTATAGTACTTCGTTACAGGTGAAATTTTGCAGACGACATTCATAGTATTTTAGATGAGGAAAAAAGAAATTATTTTGACATATTTTGGTGGTAGATAATGAACGAGGTGAATATCCAATTGTGTCTATTATAGCACATGATCTACTAACAACTCTAGTATGTACTATAGCATCGAAGTTTGCTTTTAATGTAGGTGGCAGGATTCTGTTTGATTACAAATCAAAGAAAACATAATAGAGAATTTAAAATATTTAAAAGATTGAGAAGATGTAGAGCTCCGAATCAAGATAAAGTGGACAGATTAATAGCCGAAGATTTTCAAGATCTAACTTCAAGATTTGTAAGTATTTTTAACATTAGTTTATTGGTTTTTAGACTTTATAGAAAAAATTGTACACGTAATAGCCTATTCGTGTACAATTTTAACTCCGCCTATGTTAAAATTAGCTTATCCAAAACCCTAAAAAGAGGGTTTCAAATTATTAGCACCATATTTCATTCTGAATTTTTTAATTTCTGTTATTAATTTCTTTTCAAAATAATGAAAATGATCATGGACTCATGAACAGCTTAGCTCAGCCCACAAGTCAAAGTACCGGAATCGAGACTAGTTTGTGGACACAAACTGAGCTTGTGAGTCTAAGGGCCGAGCCGACTCAATTTGGCTCAGCTTATTGCCATCCTCGCCCATATAGCTTCTATGGTGGGTAGAAACATACAAGTCTGACCAATCTCCAACTCCATGGAGTTGATTAGCGACGACATAATCATCAAGCTTTCAGAATCCCAAGTCTAGAACTTAGGGTCATCTTCTTCAGGTGCCTTAGTCGACCAGTCATATATTCGTATATGGATTTCCCATGGATATATAGTTTAAATGATTGAGATCGACATCGACAATAATGACGCAATAAAATCACTGGGACAAACTAGAATATCTGATAATATGTACCAGATAATTTCAGTTCGTATGAACTGGAGGAAAAAACAACACAACAGATTCAGGACTTCTATTCTAAAGGGGAACCAAAGCACCGATAGAAAGATGCAATACTTTAGTGTTGTAGAGAGAAAACTATCATCTTCTGTCATACTAAAATATAGAATACATGAGCTTATTTATAGGCTACTAAAGAAACAATTTTTTGTATTGAATTGAATTATTACACAGACCTACCACACCCTATTTATAATACACAACATAGTAAGGAAAAGGAAATACAAATCTTCTAACTGTAGAAACAACTCTACCTTCCAAATACTCTGAACACATAATCACACATAATCTTTAATTGATGGAAATTCCCATATCCGGTTTCCTACACTCCCCCGCAAGTTGAACTATATATGTTAATCATGTTCAACTTGCAGTTGAGTTCATCGAAGTTTTGTCAGGGTAATCCTTCGGTAAAAATGTCTACACTAGGGACTTAAGTCATACAAATGGTTCCATCTTCCACCTTTTCTTTAATAAAGTTTCTATTAACCTCTACATGTTTGGTTTTATCATGTTGAACTGGATTGAGAGAAATGTTGATAGTTGCTTTGTTATCACAACAAAGTTTAACTGGATGTTCTATGTCAATTTTCAGTACTTCTAAGAGTTTTTTTTATCCATAATCCTTCACATATCTCTTGTACAACTGATCTAAATTCAACCTCAGCACTACTTCTTGCTACTACATTCTGTTTTTGCTTATTCAAGTTACCTAGTTTCCCCACACAAAGGTACAGTACCAGTGGTGGATGTTTTGTCTTCAATCGATCTAGTATAGTCTGCATCAGTAAATACTTCCAACTTTCTTCCTTTTCAGGGGGAGAAATCGGAAAACAAAGTGACAAGAAGATTCTAGTTTACTCAAGGAAGCCTAAATCAAAGTATAAGGATACCCACACAATTGGGGCACCAAAAGAGTCAGAACCGGTGGTCGGACCTGATGAGGACGAGAAACTCAATACAATCATATCTCCTGATAATGATCTACCCATCGCTCTCAGAAAATAAACTCGATCATGTACCCTTCATCCTATTTCAAAATTTACATCTTATAACAATCTATCTGCAGGATTTCGTGCTTTTACAGCTAACCTTGATAAAACAGAAATTCCAAAAAATATTTAGGAGGCCCTGGCATCACCAAAATGGAAAGAGGCAGTTATGGAAGAAATGAGAGCTCTAAAGAAACTTGGGGAGTAGTAAGCCTACCAAAAGGAAAGAAATCAGTTGGATGCAAATAGGTCTTCAATGTAAAGTACAAGGCTAATTGGAAAATTGAACGCTACAAGGCACGTCTAGTTGCCAAAGGGTATACATAAACATATGCATAAACTACACATAAACATTTGCACCGGCGGCAAAACTATATACAATTCGAGTTCTTCTATCCTTAGCAATGAATCTTGATTGGCCCCTCCAACAATTAAATATTAAGAACGCATTCCTGAATAGAGAATTGGAAGAGGAAGAATACATGACGATACCACCAGACTTCAACAAAAGTAATGAAGAAAATCAAGTATGCAAACTCAGGAAGTCTCTATATGGTCTCAAGGTCACCCAGAGCATGGTTCAACAGATTTGCAAAAGAATTGAGAACCCACGGATACCAGCAAGGGCACTCTGATCATACTTTGTTCTTCTAACAATCCAGAGATAGAAAAAAGGCGATCTTAATTGTATATGTTGATGATATAATTCTGACTGGGATAACATAGTAGAGATGGAAAGATTAAAGAAGTGCTTAGCCACAAAATTTGAAATAAAGGACCTGGGACAAATGCGGTTCTTTTTAGGGGTGGAGATCGCAAGAACAAAGAAGAAATTAGCAGAGCAATTGGAATTTTTTGTTAGTTGGCTAATAGATAGTAGGTTACAGGACAAATTTGGGACATGGAGGGCATAATCAAGTGTTATGGATTCAGAAATTTGAATACCCCCTTTTCCCGCAACTAACCATCTGCAATTTTTACCTTAACATCTCCAACACAAGTTGGGTATAACGAGAATAGTTGGTATGAATCCGTCGTGATTGGATGCACTAGAATCAATAATCCAAGAGGTTTTATATTTTGTATGAGCTAGAGAACTAGAAGGACCTTTGGAAGAGGACTAACTAAATGTTTGAAGACTGGAGAATATCTGATAGAGCTGCTCCGTATGTTCGGAATTGAATGCACCATTTGAAGTAAAATTTATTGTCTCAGCTTAGTACCCCTTGTTCCGAATATTTTGCCTTGGTTTCCAGTCGATGGTTTTCCATGAATTTCCTAACAAGTATCTTCTTCATGCCTCGGCCTGCGACAGTGTTCACACCATTGTCGTACCCATTGTTTTTGGTTTGGCCCATTTGTAGCCCCCTTTAAAGAAAAGCTTAATACACTCTCTCCACTAGAATTTTGAAGACCATGCTCAAAACCCATTAATTTTAAACTTCTAGTGTCCAACCCATTGTTAACAGGCCCAACAGACTTGAGCCCAACCAATTTAGAGTTTTTTAGAAACGGCCCACTCCCATTACTCCTTGAGTTGGCGGCTAACATCTCTCCCGTCACTCCAGAAGCTCCGATCGTCTCCTTCATCGTCACTGATCGCCGCGCTTCTTCCCGGCAAACTTCAGCAAAAACCTTCGAGTCGACGGCCTAAAATTCTGCGTCTCACATTGTCTAATTTGCGATTTAATCCAGCAAGAAATTCATACTCTTTCATTCTCCCGCATCTTCTTGTACAATAAAGTTAATCCAAATGGTCACTAAACTAAGTAAAAAGTTTTCACCGGATCACTGAACTTTAAAAATCACCTAAGTCATCACTGAACTTTGCAAAAAATTTACATGGGGTCATTGAACTTAAAAAATAACTACATTTATCACTGAACTTATCTAAAGATTTCCACAGGGTCATTGAACTTCGCAAAAAGTTTCCCAAGGGTCATCAAACTTAGTGACTCCTGGGAAAGTTTTTCTAAAATTCAGTGATGAATGGTATAATTTTTAGTTTAATGACTTCGTGGAAACCTTTTACAAAGTTCAGTGACCCTATGAAAATATTTTGCAAAATTCAGGGATGACTTGAGTGATTTTTAAAGTTCAGTGACCTGATTAAAATTTTTTGCAAAGTTCAGTGACCATTTAGGTTATTAACTCGTACAGTGAGCAATCACCTGGGCACTTCCATTCTTTTTCTATGCTAAGATCTAATTCTTGCCAAAGGTTCGCCATTTCCATGTAATATTCTATTACATCCCTGGGTCCTTGTCGAGTCCGCCAGAGTCGAGTCCCGATTTCGAAAATATGGGACGAGTCTTCAAAATATAAGTATCCTTTACTGAGTCCCAAATGTCCTTTGCTGTCGGGAGGAAAAGGTATGTCTTATCAATGGTCGTTTCATGGAATTCACCAACCAAGCAGTAACCATGGAATTTTCGAATTTTCACTTCTGCAACAGAGCTGCATCACCAACTTCCCTTTTCCGTCAATAACCAATTTTACAGATTGGGCCCATTCACGGTAGTTCCTTCCATTCAACTTCTCCACCGTGAGTTGGAAGGAAGAGTTTTCAAGTCCGTGATGGCCAATTGGGACCAACCTCTGTTTCGAAGCTTGATGTTTCAGAGGTTGTTGACTCCCTACTATTAGTGGGGAATTCCGTCATGTATTTGCTAAGTTAGAAACCTAACTCTGATACCATGAAGAAATAATTTTCTGTATTGAATTGAATTATTACAAAGGCCTACCACACCCTATTTATAATACATGACATAGTAAGGAAAAGGAAATACAAATCTTCTAACTATAGAAACAATTCTACCTTCTAAATATTCTGAACACATAATCACACATAATCTTTAATTGATGGAACTTCCCATATCCGGTTTCCTACAGCTACAGACTGCAAAACGTGTTCCTAAATAAAAGTCAATAGAAAAGGAAAAAGAAGTTCTGTCTACAATTAGAAATTATTATCTACAAAATCAAATCCTATCTATTTTCCATAAGTAAACTGCACAAATTCAGGGAACTACAATCAAGAAATCAATGCCGAAGTTCAGGGGGAAAAATCCTATAGAAATCTCTGGATCTTCCACAATTACAGTATTACCTAGCCACCCAACCATCTCTTACATCTCAAATACATATACAAAATTCTAAAAATAAAAAAGCATAATCCTTCAACAGATTTAATTTGATGCTATAATTTTTCTTGGCAGCAATATTCAGGTAGGAGGGAATATTCCTCTGCTTTGATTCTTGAATTTTATTGTATACTTTCTTATGATGACTATCGACACCAAGCCGAGACTACCTGCACAAAGGCATCTCCTGCCTCCTTTCTAACCCAAACATAGTCACAACCAGAACCAAAAACCACCTAACTTTTAAGAGGCAAAGTGGCAAAGTGTTATCAACCAAGTACAAATAAGCCAAGTCCTAATCCCCAAATTTAACAAGTCCTCAAAGGATCACAGGTACCACTGTATACATTCCAAGTCCATAAAGTGTAACTATTCGTGAAGTTAATGATTCATAGTGGTTCACCATATGATGGTGTTAAGCTTAACAGTGACATGCTTGTAAATGTATTCAATGGCAAGGATAGCTTTATCGTGTAAATGAATGAAAACGGTATACCATATATAGATGAATGCATGTGAAAAGCAGGGAAAAATCTATAAACTAGAAGCCATAAAGAACTTTAATACGACAGATTTACAAAGTAACTTGATAATTATGTGCAAGAACTTACAGTTTCTTGCGCTTTGCTATATTAGGAGCCACTTTCTTGATATAGTCTTTTCGTTTCTCTAATGATAAAGGTCTCAAGTGCTCAACGAGTTTGTGACAGTGTAAACAGCAATTGGTACAGATACCACGTTCAATTTGGAAAAGCCCCTAAACAACCACCTCCCAATGTTAATTCCAGTAATGAGTTCAGAAATTTTTCTAGCCAACAGAACCTTAAAATTATATTATACAGTTAAAATATAGCAGTAAGGTAGGATCCAAGTCCAAACCTCACGAAGATATCTATAGCTAGTTCTTGATTTATATTCTTCATAGCATCCCAAACAACAGAAGAGGTCCTCAAAGTATTGAGGCGTCTTGGCCATATTTTTCCTGCCATTGAGAATAATCACACTCATGCCAAGTTCTTCTAGAGAAAAAAGAGAAGTTAATTAGCCATACTTGCAAGGAGTCTGACAGAGCTTGCAGAGTGGTTCATTCATATCAGACCATCCCTGTAAGTAAAGTTTCTCCTTTTTATGATCCCTATGGAGTTTGACTGTTCTCCAAGCAGCATTTGATGGTAATGGATGGCTTATCTCCAGCAAAGGTGTTTTGCGCCTCTTGCTTCGTTCCTTCAGCAATCCCTAAGAGAGAACAGTGTGATTGTTGGTCAACAAAATTCTTGTAGGATTAAAAGCATCTCATGAAACAATGGCTGTAGGTCAACAGTTGACAGATGTATTTAAACATGTTTCAGTAAGTTGAAATTGGCTGGCTACAATACCTAAAATGGAGAATATATTACACGTACACACCTCATTATCATGGTTGAGACTTTCATTCAAATAGCACAATTCATTAGACAATGGAAGTTGTAGAGGTTTGCCAGATAATTTTCTCTTCTCAATAGGCCTCAACTTGTTCCATTCGTGGATGAATTCAATAATGGCAGATCTAAATCTTGGATCATCTTTGATATATTTGCACTTCCTTTTCTCATTGTCCTCCACAATAGGATGCAACTCAAATTCCTCTGGTAGGAAATTTTGAAAAAGTGGCCTTGGTCTTGAATCTAATCCATGAGAGCAAAAGTATAAGTGGATCCTTCCAGTGTATTGGCTAACCTGAAATAGAAAGTTTTCAGGAAAATATCAATAACTACACGGTCATCAGCTTCTCTTTGATGCTTATGAGGCACAAAGAAACACATCATTATTCTTTTATGTATTATATTTTGCATGGAATACAAAAGCATTCTGAAATTTGAGACCGACAATTATAAATCCTTGTTCCTTGGACAAGATGTTTCTAATTATTGAGTAGATATGGGGAAGACAGAGATGAGAGACTTTGGCAATGCTTTAGTAGCAGGAGTTTTCAGCAACAAGCCAACATTTTTCTGTGAAAAAGTAATTCCAGTTTTCTGTTTTCACTGGGTTTAGATTAAAAATTGAAGGAACTAACCACATAACCATAGTATGTTAATGTGGGTTTTTGAAGAATACATGATAAGACTTCAGTCTTCACACATATAGCCAACTATCTAAATCATGCATTAAGAGTCAACCCAGTAATTCTTTGCGTTTCTCAAGGAATAGAATCTAAAAGATTCCAATGATAATAACCTACTTAACCAAAAATGTGTCAATAGTTTACCTCAAAGCGGAGTGTGGTAGATTGATTACAGCTATCAGCTCCAGATTCAATTAACTTGGCAGATCCATAACCATCATCATTTAATTTTGTATCAGGAAACATCTTCTTTACCCGATTTTCCGATGCAAAACCATCCAACATTCAAGTTATAACAGAGAGAAAAATTCATAGAAAGATTGAAAGAAATAAACAATTAAAAAAAAGTTATTGCTTGATCTGTTTGTGTTAGAAAAGCATAAAGATCCATGCCTTACCTTCAGCAATTGGTCCTCAACATCACTTGCTTCTTCTAAACTATGAGAACCAATTCTGCTAGCAGCTTCAGATTTAGCTAAGGGGGCAGACTCTTCATATCTTGGAAAAGTGTGCTTTCGATTTTCATCCAGATAACAGGAAACACAGTAAGGAATAAAGTCAAAGATCATTTCTGAAGAGAAGTAAAAGAAACTATAACACTAAATTCACTACCTCAAGATGAAGCCTATCTCTCTGAGATGATACAATATTAGTTTTATTATGTTCCTCATCATTCACCACCACATGTGAGTCGCACACATCCTTATGAGGCTCTGACTCTTGATCAGAGTGAACACTATGAGGTTGCAGAACCTTTATTTCAGTTATACCAGTATCTTTTGTAATATCTGGCAAAAATTGTTTGCTTTCCTCAAAAATTTTTCCAGTAGTTTCAAGATGGGAAACTCTGTCAACCTGTGTGGCATAAGAACCCAATTTATTAATACCCAGACATGTAAATAAAGGAAACTTTAGTGTTGTAGAGAGAAAACTATCATCTTCTGTCATACTAAAATATAGAATACATGAGCTTATTTATAGGCTACTAAAGAAACAATTTTTTGTATTGAATTGAATTATTACACAGACCTACCACACCCTATTTATAATACACAACATAGTAAGGAAAAGGAAATACAAATCTTCTAACTGTAGAAACAACTCTACCTTCCAAATACTCTGAACACATAATCACACATAATCTTTAATTGATGGAAATTCCCATATCCGGTTTCCTACACTCCCCCGCAAGTTGAACTATATATGTTAATCATGTTCAACTTGCAGTTGAGTTCATCGAAGTTTTGTCAGGGTAATCCTTCGGTAAAAATGTCTACACTAGGGACTTAAGTCATACAAATGGTTCCATCTTCCACCTTTTCTTTAATAAAGTTTCTATTAACCTCTACATGTTTGGTTTTATCATGTTGAACTGGATTGAGAGAAATGTTGATAGTTGCTTTGTTATCACAACAAAGTTTAACTGGATGTTCTATGTCAATTTTCAGTACTTCTAAGAGTTTTTTTTATCCATAATCCTTCACATATCTCTTGTACAACTGATCTAAATTCAACCTCAGCACTACTTCTTGCTACTACATTCTGTTTTTGCTTATTCAAGTTACCTAGTTTCCCCACACAAAGGTACAGTACCAGTGGTGGATGTTTTGTCTTCAATCGATCTAGTATAGTCTGCATCAGTAAATACTTCCAACTTTCTTCCTTTTCAGGGGGAGAAATCGGAAAACAAAGTGACAAGAAGATTCTAGTTTACTCAAGGAAGCCTAAATCAAAGTATAAGGATACCCACACAATTGGGGCACCAAAAGAGTCAGAACCGGTGGTCGGACCTGATGAGGACGAGAAACTCAATACAATCATATCTCCTGATAATGATCTACCCATCGCTCTCAGAAAATAAACTCGATCATGTACCCTTCATCCTATTTCAAAATTTACATCTTATAACAATCTATCTGCAGGATTTCGTGCTTTTACAGCTAACCTTGATAAAACAGAAATTCCAAAAAATATTTAGGAGGCCCTGGCATCACCAAAATGGAAAGAGGCAGTTATGGAAGAAATGAGAGCTCTAAAGAAACTTGGGGAGTAGTAAGCCTACCAAAAGGAAAGAAATCAGTTGGATGCAAATAGGTCTTCAATGTAAAGTACAAGGCTAATTGGAAAATTGAACGCTACAAGGCACGTCTAGTTGCCAAAGGGTATACATAAACATATGCATAAACTACACATAAACATTTGCACCGGCGGCAAAACTATATACAATTCGAGTTCTTCTATCCTTAGCAATGAATCTTGATTGGCCCCTCCAACAATTAAATATTAAGAACGCATTCCTGAATAGAGAATTGGAAGAGGAAGAATACATGACGATACCACCAGACTTCAACAAAAGTAATGAAGAAAATCAAGTATGCAAACTCAGGAAGTCTCTATATGGTCTCAAGGTCACCCAGAGCATGGTTCAACAGATTTGCAAAAGAATTGAGAACCCACGGATACCAGCAAGGGCACTCTGATCATACTTTGTTCTTCTAACAATCCAGAGATAGAAAAAAGGCGATCTTAATTGTATATGTTGATGATATAATTCTGACTGGGATAACATAGTAGAGATGGAAAGATTAAAGAAGTGCTTAGCCACAAAATTTGAAATAAAGGACCTGGGACAAATGCGGTTCTTTTTAGGGGTGGAGATCGCAAGAACAAAGAAGAAATTAGCAGAGCAATTGGAATTTTTTGTTAGTTGGCTAATAGATAGTAGGTTACAGGACAAATTTGGGACATGGAGGGCATAATCAAGTGTTATGGATTCAGAAATTTGAATACCCCCTTTTCCCGCAACTAACCGTCTGCAATTTTTACCTTAACATCTCCAACACAAGTTGGGTATAACGAGAATAGTTGGTATGAATCCGTCGTGATTGGATGCACTAGAATCAATAATCCAAAAGGACCTTTGGAAGAGGACTAACTAAATGTTTGAAGACTGGAGAATATCTGATAGAGCTGCTCCGTATGTTCGGAATTGAATGCACCATTTGAAGTAAAATTTATTGTCTCAGCTTAGTACCCCTTGTTCCGAATATTTTGCCTTGGTTTCCAGTCGATGGTTTTCCATGAATTTCCTAACAAGTATCTTCTTCATGCCTCGGCCTGCGACAGTGTTCACACCATTGTCGTACCCATTGTTTTTGGTTTGGCCCATTTGTAGCCCCCTTTAAAGAAAAGCTTAATACACTCTCTCCACTAGAATTTTGAAGACCATGCTCAAAACCCATTAATTTTAAACTTCTAGTGTCCAACCCATTGTTAACAGGCCCAACAGACTTGAGCCCAACCAATTTAGAGTTTTTTAGAAACGGCCCACTCCCATTACTCCTTGAGTTGGCGGCTGACATCTCTCCCGTCACTCCAGAAGCTCCGATCGTCTCCTTCATCGTCACTGATCGCCGCGCTTCTTCCCGGCAAACTTCAGCAAAAACCTTCGAGTCGACGGCCTAAAATTCTGCGTCTCACATTGTCTAATTTGCGATTTAATCCAGCAAGAAATTCATACTCTTTCATTCTCCCGCATCTTCTTGTACAATAAAGTTAATCCAAATGGTCACTAAACTAAGTAAAAAGTTTTCACCGGATCACTGAACTTTAAAAATCACCTAAGTCATCACTGAACTTTGCAAAAAATTTACATGGGGTCATTGAACTTAAAAAATAACTACATTTATCACTGAACTTATCTAAAGATTTCCACAGGGTCATTGAACTTCGCAAAAAGTTTCCCAAGGGTCATCAAACTTAGTGACTCCTGGGAAAGTTTTTCTAAAATTCAGTGATGAATGGTATAATTTTTAGTTTAATGACTTCGTGGAAACCTTTTACAAAGTTCAGTGACCCTATGAAAATATTTTGCAAAATTCAGGGATGACTTGAGTGATTTTTAAAGTTCAGTGACCTGATTAAAATTTTTTGCAAAGTTCAGTGACCATTTAGGTTATTAACTCGTACAGTGAGCAATCACCTGGGCACTTCCATTCTTTTTCTATGCTAAGATCTAATTCTTGCCAAAGGTTCGCCATTTCCATGTAATATTCTATTACATCCCTGGGTCCTTGTCAAGTCCGCCAGAGTCGAGTCCCGATTTCGAAAATATGGGACGAGTCTTCAAAATATAAGTATCCTTTACTGAGTCCCAAATGTCCTTTGCTGTCGGGAGGAAAAGGTATGTCTTATCAATGGTCGTTTCATGGAATTCACCAACCAAGCAGTAACCATGGAATTTTCGAATTTTCACTTCTGCAACAGAGCTGCATCACCAACTTCCCTTTTCCGTCAATAACCAATTTTACAGATTGGGCCCATTCACGGTAGTTCCTTCCATTCAACTTCTCCACCGTGAGTTGGAAGGAAGAGTTTTCAAGTCCGTGATGGCCAATTGGGACCAACCTCTGTTTCGAAGCTTGATGTTTCAGAGGTTGTTGACTCCCTACTATTAGTGGGGAATTCCGTCATGTATTTGCTAAGTTAGAAACCTAACTCTGATACCATGAAGAAATAATTTTCTGTATTGAATTGAATTATTACAAAGGCCTACCACACCCTATTTATAATACATGACATAGTAAGGAAAAGGAAATACAAATCTTCTAACTATAGAAACAATTCTACCTTCTAAATATTCTGAACACATAATCACACATAATCTTTAATTGATGGAACTTCCCATATCCGGTTTCCTACAGCTACAGACTGCAAAACGTGTTCCTAAATAAAAGTCAATAGAAAAGGAAAAAGAAGTTCTGTCTACAATTAGAAATTATTATCTACAAAATCAAATCCTATCTATTTTCCATAAGTAAACTGCACAAATTCAGGGAACTACAATCAAGAAATCAATGCCGAAGTTCAGGGGGAAAAATCCTATAGAAATCTCTGGATCTTCCACAATTACAGTATTACCTAGCCACCCAACCATCTCTTACATCTCAAATACATATACAAAATTCTAAAAATAAAAAAGCATAATCCTTCAACAGATTTAATTTGATGCTATAATTTTTCTTGGCAGCAATATTCAGGTAGGAGGGAATATTCCTCTGCTTTGATTCTTGAATTTTATTGTATACTTTCTTATGATGACTATCGACACCAAGCCGAGACTACCTGCACAATAGCATCTCCTGCCTCCTTTCTAACCCAAACATAGTCACAACCAGAACCAAAAACCACCTAACTTTTAAGAGGCAAAGTGGCAAAGTGTTATCAACCAAGTACAAATAAGCCAAGTCCTAATCCCCAAATTTAACAAGTCCTCAAAGGATCACAGGTACCACTGTATACATTCCAAGTCCATAAAGTGTAACTATTCGTGAAGTTAATGATTCATAGTGGTTCACCATATGATGGTGTTAAGCTTAACAGCGACATGCTTGTAAATGTATTCAATGGCAAGGATAGCTTTATCGTGTAAATGAATGAAAACGGTATACCATATATAGATGAATGCATGTGAAAAGCAGGGAAAAATCTATAAACTAGAAGCCATAAAGAACTTTAATACGACAGATTTACAAAGTAACTTGATAATTATGTGCAAGAACTTACAGTTTCTTGCGCTTTGCTATATTAGGAGCCACTTTCTTGATATAGTCTTTTCGTTTCTCTAATGATAAAGGTCTCAAGTGCTCAACGAGTTTGTGACAGTGTAAACAGCAATTGGTACAGATACCACGTTCAATTTGGAAAAGCCCCTAAACAACCACCTCCCAATGTTAATTCCAGTAATGAGTTCAGAAATTTTTCTAGCCAACAGAACCTTAAAATTATATTATACAGTTAAAATATAGCAGTAAGGTAGGATCCAAGTCCAAACCTCACGAAGATATCTATAGCTAGTTCTTGATTTATATTCTTCATAGCATCCCAAACAACAGAAGAGGTCCTCAAAGTATTGAGGCGTCTTGGCCATATTTTTCCTGCCATTGAGAATAATCACACTCATGCCAAGTTCTTCTAGAGAAAAAAGAGAAGTTAATTAGCCATACTTGCAAGGAGTCTGACAGAGCTTGCAGAGTGGTTCATTCATATCAGACCATCCCTGTAAGTAAAGTTTCTCCTTTTTATGATCCCTATGGAGTTTGACTGTTCTCCAAGCAGCATTTGATGGTAATGGATGGCTTATCTCCAGCAAAGGTGTTTTGCGCCTCTTGCTTCGTTCCTTCAGCAATCCCTAAGAGAGAACAGTGTGATTGTTGGTCAACAAAATTCTTGTAGGATTAAAAGCATCTCATGAAACAATGGCTGTAGGTCAACAGTTGACAGATGTATTTAAACATGTTTCAGTAAGTTGAAATTGGCTGGCTACAATACCTAAAATGGAGAATATATTACACGTACACACCTCATTATCATGGTTGAGACTTTCATTCAAATAGCACAATTCATTAGACAATGGAAGTTGTAGAGGTTTGCCAGATAATTTTCTCTTCTCAATAGGCCTCAACTTGTTCCATTCGTGGATGAATTCAATAATGGCAGATCTAAATCTTGGATCATCTTTGATATATTTGCACTTCCTTTTCTCATTGTCCTCCACAATAGGATGCAACTCAAATTCCTCTGGTAGGAAATTTTGAAAAAGTGGCCTTGGTCTTGAATCTAATCCATGAGAGCAAAAGTATAAGTGGATCCTTCCAGTGTATTGGCTAACCTGAAATAGAAAGTTTTCAGGAAAATATCAATAACTACACGGTCATCAGCTTCTCTTTGATGCTTATGAGGCACAAAGAAACACATCATTATTCTTTTATGTATTATATTTTGCATGGAATACAAAAGCATTCTGAAATTTGAGACCGACAATTATAAATCCTTGTTCCTTGGACAAGATGTTTCTAATTATTGAGTAGATATGGGGAAGACAGAGATGAGAGACTTTGGCAATGCTTTAGTAGCAGGAGTTTTCAGCAACAAGCCAACATTTTTCTGTGAAAAAGTAATTCCAGTTTTCTGTTTTCACTGGGTTTAGATTAAAAATTGAAGGAACTAACCACATAACCATAGTATGTTAATGTGGGTTTTTGAAGAATACATGATAAGACTTCAGTCTTCACACATATAGCCAACTATCTAAATCATGCATTAAGAGTCAACCCAGTAATTCTTTGCGTTTCTCAAGGAATAGAATCTAAAAGATTCCAATGATAATAACCTACTTAACCAAAAATGTGTCAATAGTTTACCTCAAAGCGGAGTGTGGTAGATTGATTACAGCTATCAGCTCCAGATTCAATTAACTTGGCAGATCCATAACCATCATCATTTAATTTTGTATCAGGAAACATCTTCTTTACCCGATTTTCCGATGCAAAACCATCCAACATTCAAGTTATAACAGAGAGAAAAATTCATAGAAAGATTGAAAGAAATAAACAATTAAAAAAAAGTTATTGCTTGATCTGTTTGTGTTAGAAAAGCATAAAGATCCATGCCTTACCTTCAGCAATTGGTCCTCAACATCACTTGCTTCTTCTAAACTATGAGAACCAATTCTGCTAGCAGCTTCAGATTTAGCTAAGGGGGCAGACTCTTCATATCTTGGAAAAGTGTGCTTTCGATTTTCATCCAGATAACAGGAAACACAGTAAGGAATAAAGTCAAAGATCATTTCTGAAGAGAAGTAAAAGAAACTATAACACTAAATTCACTACCTCAAGATGAAGCCTATCTCTCTGAGATGATACAATATTAGTTTTATTATGTTCCTCATCATTCACCACCACATGTGAGTCGCACACATCCTTATGAGGCTCTGACTCTTGATCAGAGTGAACACTATGAGGTTGCAGAACCTTTATTTCAGTTATACCAGTATCTTTTGTAATATCTGGCAAAAATTGTTTGCTTTCCTCAAAAATTTTTCCAGTAGTTTCAAGATGGGAAACTCTGTCAACCTGTGTGGCATAAGAACCCAATTTATTAATACCCAGACATGTAAATAAAGGAAAAAATAAAATATCGAAATTAAAATCTTCAACACAATACTAAAGACTAGTCCAGACAAATAGCCGAAGAGGAAGCACACTGTCCCATTTAATTGACAAATTTTCCATAATGACAATCTTATATGCTGAGTTTTGGTCTAACTTGTCAAATGTCAATTAAATGCATAAGTGTCGAGTTACTCAACTCTAACGGAATTGTTGACATGACAGGCGGAATATACAGGTGGCATAACTCATGTCATTACCAAATTGCCATGTAAGAAAATATGTCTTTGATTGCTTATTGTACTTTGAAAGACGTCTTTGATTGCTCATTGTGCTTTTAAATATACCTTTGATTCCTCGCTATAATTTAAAGTAATTGAGGTTTTTTTTTTTTTTTGATAAGTAATCAAATAATTTTATTAACCAATGGATAATACATGGGAGGTGTATTATCAAGTTAAACAAGAAATAAATAACATAAAATTTGGCAGCCCTTCTATGTAATTAGTGGCCGCAACATTAAACCAAGTATACAAAATCATATAGAACAATTCTCTAATCTGCTCTATTGTTCTTGTTTGGTCTTCGAAACAGTGGCTATTCCTTTATCTCCATACACACCATACAATGCATCCCTGAATAAGATTCCATGCAAGCATACTATCCTTATCTCGAAATTTTCTCCTCCATGCCCTCACCACGTCTTCTATGCACCTAAGGAACACCCAATCCAAATGTTGGGAAGCTAGAAGATCGTTCCACAACCACCAAACACCGTCACAATGGAGGAACAAATGGTCAATCGTCTCCCCATCTCTCTTGCACATATAACACCATTCGGTCACATAAAAACCTTTGTTTCGAAGATTATCCACCGTTAACAACTGCCCCCTCACAATCGTCCACAACAAAAAAACTACCCGTGGAGACAATTTACATTGTCACACCATCTTCCAAGGAAATGAACTCTCTGCCGGTCCCAATATGGATATAAAATACGTGCCAACTTCCACCTACTCTGATCATCCTTTCCTACTTGAATATGGGCCTCGTGCAAGGAGGTTAAAAACAGTGCATAATCATCCAATTCTCAATCATGCAAACCCCTCTAAAATGCAATATTCCAATTGTAACTTCCATAATGTATGGCTAGTACATCATTCACCATAGCGGAAGGCTCCAAAGCAATGCGATGTAAAGAAGGAAACCGTGCCTCTAGCGAGTAGTCTCCACACCAATAATCATCCCAAAATCTAATACTAGTGCCATTCCCCACCACATAAGTCAATTTCTCACGAAAGTCATTCCAACCTCGTCGGATAATACTTCCACAAACTCACCCCATAAGATTCACGACCATCGATCGAGCACCAACCCCCCTCCATCACACCATATTTCGCTCCAATGATTTGTCTCCAAAAACTCCCCCTCTCTACTCCAAATCGCCACAACCACTTGCCCAATAAAGCCTTATTAAAGTGATAGAGTTTTGGTCACTAAAATTGTAAAACTGATGCCCACCTGTCCTAAAAATTTAGGAATGTTGTTTAAAGTGTCATTTTCATACAACAAAATAATCTTGCAACATGTTACAAGGGAATGCTTAAAGATATTTTGTAATATACTTGGTTTTTGGTGTAAGTTGTTTGTTAATGTAAATTATAGATTTTTTTGGTGAATGTCATACATATTTTTGTTACAATTAGTCATCAAAATAGTCAATATTTTCTTGTTAATGTAGATTATAAATCAAGTATGGAAAGAAATGAACCAAAACTCAAGTATATTGCAAAATGTCTTGAAACATTCCCTTGTAACGTGCTACAAAATTATTTTGCTATACGAAAATAATACTTGTAACAGCATTCCTAAATTCTCAAGATATGTCAGCGTCGATTTTACAAATTTTAATCTCCAAAACTCGACCACCTTAAAATATAGTGAGTAATAAAAGACTTTCTATAAGAATAATGAGCAATCAAAGACGATCAAAGACATTTTCCAAAGTATGGAATCAAAGATGCCTTTCTTACGTGGCAATTTGATGTGCCTGAGTTACACCACGTATGCATTTTGTCTACCATATCACCATTTCCGTTAAAGTTGAGTAACGAATGTCATGCCAATGAGTAACGTCCAATATTTTGATTAGTTTAGTGACCAAAACTCGACATCTGAAACTTCAGTGAACAATTGAAGACATGGACATAAGTTAAGTGATTATTGAGACAATTAACTATTAATATTACTGCAATACTTTATATTCTAGGGTGATTAAATTAATAAAAGTATAGACACATTTTATTAGTTAAATTTACTTAAAAGTTACTTGTTTTGAGATTAACTCCTCTTACAATCAAAATAAAAAACTTGGGTAGATAAAATTACAATGTGTTAAAAAAAAAATTAAAAGAGAAAAGTTATATATCAATAAGTCAAGTTTGACTTGTAAGGTAAACATGTAGCAGGTGCAAAACCATCCACCTTAAGGATAGAGTATACCTCAATGTGAGTGACGGTGGAAAAATAAATCAGTGTGATCTCCAATTTGTTTTTGTAGCAACCCAAAAATTTTATAGATAAAATTTATTTATTTTGTATATTATATAAATTCCTATTTTATCTGGGTCAAATAAATTAGATTTTGATAGAGCAATTATAAGTATATCAATATTGTACTCGTTGGATAGCTCGTAATTAATTTGAAGTCTTTGACTCAAGGAAAAATTATTTTGGATAAGGACACATTAAATTAGACCCAATTGAAAGAAAATGGTATAAATGTAATTTTATATAGATTATAAATCAATTTATTTTCTCTCTCCAAAAAAGAAAACATGTGAGGTGGGATTTTTATCATTATTTCTTAGTTTTGATTTAGGGATTCCTAGGATGGCACATGTTTTCACTATTCTACTATTCTAGTTACAAAAAATTCACTGTACATCCATATACGGTTGGATAGAGATAGTGGATATCTTGTAGTTGAATAAGATAATAATAAAGTACATTGTGAGTAGATATTGGTTGCAAGATTTGGCCCTATCAAATCAAATTTTGATTTATCTACTCTAGCCTACACCTATATATATATAGGCATGATGAAAAGTTTTACTCACACCAATTCACACATACGGTAGGTAAAGAGAGAGAGAGAGAGAGAGAGAGAGTGAAGAAAGAGAGAGAGAAGGTAGCATTGAAAATAAAGTTTGCGTACATTAAATATTTTAATCACGTATTTTTCAAAGCGGAGAAAAGATTTTGAACGTGCTTCAAATTTTTCTAACAAGGTAAGATACTTTAAGTGCAAGTGCTTTTGTTTCCTTATGCGTTTATGTCCAATTAAAAATGCATGGATTGCTAGTAGACATTTTTTTTTTAAAGAGATATGAAATCCTACGGGATTATAAGAGGACCTAAGATGGGTGTATCGCTTGATCACCGATATACTCCATAAGATCAGATGGTATGAATTGTAATTTTTATTGTTATATATATGTATATGAAAACTGCACGTATCTTACTGGGTGTTTTCGAATATTCACTCTTACAAATTTTTACAGGTTAGTTCAGGTCGATTGGAATTGTGGAAGGACGATGATGCGGGCTACCAAGTGGATCAAATGAAAAGAAAAATAAATGAGTTTGCCGTCTTTAAATTTACCAATTAGTTTAATTTTGTTCCAAACATGTTATTTGAATTAGTTAAGAGTTTATGTTATATTTAGATAAAATTTCATATTTTAAATTTAGATTTATAAATGTTGCAGTTATTTGTTTAATAAAAAATTTTATTTTTATAGTTCTGCACTTAAAATAAAGAAAAATGAGTTTTTCGTAACGTTCCAGAGTTTATAAAAAATTGGGGCGTTACAGTTTTGATACATGTACACAAGCAATAAAAAGGGGGGATAACAAAAATAATCAATGATCTAGTTAGATTTGGGGAAGAGGCAAAACTAAAAGGATTAAGAACCGTCCAGTTATAGGGGGCATTTTTTCCTACTAGGTACTAATGTTAAAGTAAACTCTCCAATAAAAAGTAACAAACAAAGTTAGGAAGTAAACAAATATATGGTTTATGATTAATTTAAGCTCTCCCAACCCCAAATTCAGTGTCTTCAAAATGACTTGGCACAATTATATGGTTGTAGTCAAAATTAAATGGTATTATTTTAGAAAATTATTCCAGAATGAAAGCCTGAGATTAATTTCTAAAACTAAAGTATTAATATAGGATGAGATGAATATATAACAATATTGGGCAAAATGGCAAGAGAAACCCCTTCAAAGACCTACAATTGCTGTCTATGATGAGTCAGAATATTAAAATATTGATTTACCGATAAATTACCTTGTCGAAGGTCATGGAGAATGGTTTCAATTTCAAATAACTCTGAATTTTCATTACTGGAGTAGATTTTCTTTGCTACATCCCATAGCAGGTAGGAAATTTTATCTAATTTCATTTGTCCTAGAATTGATCAGCCAAGATATAACCATATTATTTTCTAACTTCCACAGTTCGAATTTCGGATCTATGGTTACTGAAGAGGCAGACTGTTACAACCCAAATTTTACTAGTTAAAAATCGAAAGTTGAATTGTTAAAGTCAGAGTTAAATAAGGACTTAAATGAAGTGAATAATTTTATTGGAACATGAATTGACCAAATTATTTTATTGGTGTTATTTTATGATAAAAAAATATTTTAAAGGTTTAAGTTGGACAAGATAAAATTTTGGGATCTACTTATATATTTTTGGAAGTTTAGGATTTAACTTTATATTATATTGAAGACTTCCTTTGCAATTTAAGTTAGTGGCCACTTATTTCATTACCTTAAACTCATTTTTCAATTGTAAAACACACACACACACACAAAATAGAAAATGGGACAGAGGCTGGAAACCGAGAAAGAAGGGGGGAAGAAGAAGAAGAAAAGGAAAGGGAGGAAGTAAGTATTGATTTCTTCATGCTTGGATTTATTTACTTTATATCTTTAAGAGATTAAAAAGTAAATGTTTTATGGTATCATGATGTTAAATTTCTAAGGTTTAATTTTCAGATTTAGTGGAGGAGTATAATTTCTTGCTTAAATTGCTTGATTGATTAACTTTTAGTTGAATCAAGGTAAGAAATATCAAATTTTAGCAAACCCTAGATTTTAAATTGGATGCTTGAGTAAGGATTATTTGTGAAAATTATTATGTGATGGAAATATTCACCCGAAAGAATGATTTTATAGAACAAGATATATATTAAATTGGTTGTAGTGTGATTACTAGTTTTCACTAGATTGAAAGGAATGAAATATGTTTTATGCTTTAGATGAAGGTTATTTTGAGGAATTAGTTATTAGAAAAGGGGCTAGAATAAAGTAGAAATAGCTCCAACTGATCCAAGAAAAATTTGGAAATTTTTTTTTTTTAAAGGTAATCAAATATTTTATTAATCAATGCATTATACACAGTAAGTGTTTTATCAATTTAAGCAGAAAGGAATAACATAAAATTGGGCAACCCATCTATATATCTAGTAGCTGCAGCATTAAACCACGCATATAATGTGAAATAAAACAATTCTCTAATTTGCTCTGATGTCCGTGTTTGATAATCTTAACAGCGGCTGTTTCTGTCTCTCCACATATACCATACAACGCAACCCGAAATAAAGTCCCATGCAAGCTTGCAATCATTATCGCGAAATTTTCTCCTCCATGCCTTTAACACGTCTTCCATACGCCTTGACATCACCCAATCCATGTGTTACAATGCCAGAATATTGTGCCACAGTAAACGAGCAACATCACAATGGAAAAACAAGTGATCGTCTCCCCATCCCTCCAACACATACAACACCACTCTGTAACATAAAAACCTCTTGTTCATAGATTATCCACCATTAACACCTATCCCCTGACCATCGTCCAAAGTAAGAATACTATTCGTGGAGGCAGTTTACATTTCCACACCATTTTTCAGGGGAATGAACTCTGCACAGGACCCAATAAAGATCTGAAATAAGTGCCAACTGATAAAATCTCATCCCGTGTCAATTTCCACCTACTACATTCTGCCTCTCCTACCCTGATATGGACCTCGTACAAAAAAGTCAAAAATAGCACATAATCATCAAATTCTCGATCCTGTAATCCCCGGCCAAAAACAATGTACCGAGCCTCCCATTACGTATATCTAAGACATCATTCACGTTGCAGACAGTGTTAACACAATACGATATAAAGAGGGAAATTTCACCTTCAACGGTTGTTCTCCACACCAACAATCATCCCAAAAACTGATGGTAGTACCATCCCCCTCCAACCCAAAATCAAATCAACCAAGTAACCATGAAATCAATCAGCCCAATTATCCAGAAGTCCATTAACACAATATAACCTAAGCCTAAGCCAAAAACAATGTACCGAGCCTCCCATTACGTATATCTAAGACATCATTCACCGTTACAGACAGTGTTAACACAATACGATATAAAGAGGGAAATTTCACCTTCAGCGGTTGTTCTCCACACCAACAATCATCCCAAAAACTGATGGTAGTACCATCCCCCTCCAGCCCAAAATCAAATCAACCAAGTAACCATGAAATCAATCAGCCCAATTATCCAGAAGTCCATTAACACAATATAACCTAAGCCTATTACACACTAGTTTCAGCCTAATACCAAAAATCATTACAAGACCCATATAACTTAAGTCTCGCACCAAATTACACAACTACCCAACAATTCAACACATCTATTAATCAATCCCATATACACTAAAACGGATCCACACAAAAAAATTGGCCCACAACATAAATAGGCCCAAATCATACCATCCCTAGTCCCTTGGCCACATCCTTTACGTTTTATATCATTTCCACGATCAGATCCACCATGGCGATAAAACTCCCTTTGAGGCCATTTCGTTCCTGTTCCCCTTTCCCGACATAGCTATTTTTGAAACAACCTCGGCCACCACCATGAAAGGGGTCACGAGGACCACCAAAGCTACCACTCCTCATGGAAGATTTTCCTGTATCAAGCCCTTCATTTACAACTATTCCACTAGAAAAATCACTATTTTTGTATGAATTCTCAACGTTACTTGATTCTTTGTTATACGCATACCATCAATACGTCCATGCCAATATCCATGTCCACCATCGCAGCCTCGTCTTGCAAATTCAGATTTTCACTCCTTTGGCAACCTCGGTGGGACCTTGGACGGGAGTTTTGTGGAAGCTGGCTTATTTGGCTACTGCACCTGCTACTCAGCCACGGGAGCCAATGTTTTTCTTCAACTCAATCTTTTGAATCAGCTATGACGGGTCTTCTGAATCATCGCCCCTAGCAAATCAAATGGATTCAGTGTCGCCATAGCTCCTAAGGCACTGGAAGCAAAACTCTAGCTTTCAGATATTTATTAATGATGACTAGATATTTATTACTCAAACAAAAAACTTTGATACTTAGCTCCTTCTGCCATAAGAAAAATCAACCTAGAAAACAAGAGAAAATTTTTAAGAAATTGGCTCTGATATCATGTCAAATATACTCAATAAGACTCATACCCTCAACGTGAGAAGTTCTCTCATTAAATAGAACCAAAATAAAGCTAAATATGGTCACTGTCAATTACATTATTCATTAATGATAACCTACTAAATATAAAGATTGATGCCTTATATTCTTTCTTTATATTCCACTGACAATGGCTGTAGGATATCCTAGAAATTAGGACAAGAGATCAGGAATTCCACACAGTCGATAGAAAGTCATCGTCTAATTCAAACTTGGGAAGAATTGAAGATTTTGATGTTGGATCAATTTAGCATGAACGAGGTCTACATTGGTGAAGAAATTTCAATGTGGAAGCATTGGGAATTGGGAAACTGGGAGACGGTGGTGAAAGAAAAGAGGTATCAATTGCATGTCCCCATTGTCGTCGCCTGAAGAGAAGGAAAGCTAGAGAACATAGGAGAACGGATCATTATTAAAAAGCTACAACTGGAAAAGATGAAAGAAGAGAAATTGCTGAAGTAAATGGGTTTGGTCTATGATATGGAGGTGCCCATCAAGAGGAATGCAGAATTTCACTCAAGTCAGCCAAGTCAGAATGGGCCTGAATAAATTAAAGATAAATGGCCCAACAATTATTTATAGCCCTAAAAACCATCAGATTACTCCAATTCAAGCCCCATTACACCAACTAACTGCAATCACGTACTAACTTTAATTCAGGTGAGCCAACTCCAAAACCAAGTTCCAATAATTTCAAATAGCTTTTTGGTACTAAATTTCAAACAAAGAAGGAAAATAATTCGAGTCTCTAGTATGATGGGTACGACACTATTGGGTGTTGCTTAAGAGAAATAATAAAAGGAGAAATTGTCATGAAAATCAATGATACCGGATTTGGATTGGTCGATGGCAGCAAAGGTGCATGTATTTTAATACCTACAATAGTGAGGAGGTTAGAGATATGTTCGGATTAATAATGAATTCGATGGTCAGATTAATAGCGGACCTATTAACCACTAGTATATTGTCTTGATTTGCACCTTGAGGACAAGGTGAATTTCGTAAGGGGACTAATGATAGACCTCTTATCCAATTTAAGTATAAAAGGTGCCGGAAGATAGCAAGGGCACGAAAGGAAATTAGCTAGGAGAATGCAACCACTTCACATGCATTTCATACCTATAGTTAGAGAGCTAATATCCCGTGGTCTATAAGAAAGGGGAAAAGGAGAGAATAAAGCATGCTGAATTTCATAGAAATCTAGTGGGGAGAATTGGCCTCTCAAATGCCAAATATCCTTGTCTTTTATTCATTGCTGCTGCAGTACAATCTCATAGATTTATAGATTAGGTTTACTATTTTCTTTTACTCATTGCATAAACAATTGTTCTCAATCTTCATTATAGAGTGATATTTTACAATCAAAATCTCCAGCCCACATCGCTTCATTACAATATTGTTGCCTAACAATTCTACTGATCAACTAATTCACAGATCCATAGCAATAACAACAGCAGGGAACTATCAGTTTTGAGTAACAGCAGTAAGGGACTCTTATTCACTCAGTGATTGAGAGTCCCTTCCAGTATCGGCAACAACCTGCAGAGGTTAAAGCATCACAGCATCACGTACAAGTTCTTCGGAACATCAGCAACGATCAGCAACAGCAATCAAGTTCCCATCATCTTATCTTTATAGTGAATCAGACTTGACAAATCCACATAAATCTTCCCCCCAAAAAGGACAAATAAAATGAACAAACTTAATATTTTACCAAGAAAAAGATAATCCTTTCTCATTCAAATGTTTGTTTAAGCTTGAAGCCTCATTTTGTTCTCTGGATAATGTGGATAAGATAATCAATCCACTTTACATCATATGTTGGCCTTTCGAAATTGAATTTATATTCAACAGCAATATTCTACCAGCCATTTATCAGATTACATAATCACGACCATTATGCAATTATTTCTAAGAGAATCTTACCCTCCACTTGCTATTAAAATCATTTAATCTCCCATCCCAAGCCATTAGCAACTTTAGTCCGGAGCTAAAGTTGCCTCCCATTCTAATCCCACCGGTCCTTCGATAGACACTACCACAGACCAGCCCACCCACCCGCTACCTCCAATACTGCAACATCACAGCATCTACAACCCCACCACAAAATCCCCTACTCCATTTAATATACAATTTCGTTTGACTACTGCTAAAAAATAATTTATTCCAAACTGGTCGACTAATTTATATGAATTTATACAAATACACGTAATTTCTCCATCTGAAATGGAATATATCATTTACTAAGAATATATGTTTTGAATGGCTTAAAAAAGTCCAGTACTGCAACATCACAGCATCTACGACCCCCTTTCATCCACTGGCGACCCACTAATGACTCCAAATCAGCTCAAAATCACC